GGGGGGGGGGTATTAAAATGTATTGATTCTCTGGGTCTGTCTGCTGGAATGTTGTACGTGTCTCAGCCCGGGTCGTTCCTGACAGACTGGGCCGGAACCCCGCCCCCTAAATGATTCAATTGTGTCGAGTGGCCTTAAGGAAGACCCTTTAAAAAAGAAAGACATTTTTGAATAAACAACGAATGATGGATATCAAACTAGAAGATTCGAGCCTTAGAGCACAGGCCCACGTTATGACTGATCTTTTTAAAAGGAATTTTGTTTTGTATTTCACCCTATTTTAGCTAAAACATTTTAAACGTAACAATATTCGAGCTCGTCGGTGCACTGTCCTCGCGTCTGCAACTTAAGTGGCTGCAAAAATCTATTTTAACTGTTCAAAATTTTGTTCACATTGATACAAATATCACAGAGTAATCGCTTTTTAATTATATTGACCCCTTTTTTTTAAAAGAATCTGTCATGAACACATTATTTTTATTTCCAGCAATTCTTGTTCTGGGAAGTTGCTGTGGGTACTTTGCCGTCTGTTGAGCGGAGCCAGTCCCCGAACGTCGCAGAGATGACGTCAGCTGACCTGGAAGCTTTATTCGCCCACGAACAATCCCGGAAACGGATCTTCCCACAAGACATACTGTCGTCCTTCTTCGTGCCTTTCCGGTGTCGTCCGGAGAATATGGCGCACTTCATCAACGACAGGGCCTCCTGTGTGGCCTCATACAGGGCAGACGACACCACACCTGGTTCTGACGTAACGCCACACGTGAAAACAGTGACGTCTGCTGGCGATGTTGAGAAGATCACGCTACTTTCTGCGTCGTTTGTGTACCGCGCCAGGAAGGGACATTCCTACAACGTCACTTTCTTTGGTACAGAGTACGCAGATCTGGAGGCGCACCTTTTCTATCACGTCCACAAGCTCCAGAGGTTTGGTCACGAGACCGTCATCCTGTCCCTGGTCTTTCTGCAGGAGTTCGCGCCCCTGGTGCTGGAGAGAACCAAGACCTTCCTGGGTCAGTTCGGCATCACACGCAGTCAGTACCCGGCCATAGACCACAGCATTTTCTTTGAAAGCGATTTTGGGGGGCAATAGAGAATACACACACACACACACACACACACACACACACACACACACACATACATACATACATACATACACACACACAAACACACCTACATACACTTATACACAAACGCATACACATACACATAAACACACACACACACACACACACACACACACACACAGACACACACACACACACACACACACACACACACACACAAACACACACGTATGTATGTGTGAGTGTGCGTGTGTGTGCTGGGACGTGTATTTGTGTGTGTGAGTGTCACGACCCATCAATCTTTTCCATCTGAAGTTATTTGTATCAACTTCCAACATGTTCACCTGTTCTCAGTTTGATTTGTTAAAATGCCCTTCTATCGTGAAATGAAGTAGAAACATTTACTGTTGGAAGAGGTATGGACTCCTGCTGTCAGAAATAAACTCAGCGAGTAATGAATGGTGGCCAACGTTTTCTACTTTCATTGCTGGGGTGTCTTTGGAACCAACAGACGTTCTTTCATATTGTGCGTTTGAACATTTATTTTCCAGTAAAGTCCATACTTATGATTCTAAATATTCAAAGGTGTTAGCCCCCACCCCCTTCCTCCAAGAACAAAATCAATAATAATAACAATTCGATTAAAATTACCAAAGAGTGGAGTAGAGTCAGTGTCGTCAGTTTCATCACCTTGCCGAAAACGTGATTTCACCATGATCTTACTCACAGCGTACAGAAAAACAAGTTCTAATCAGATACACGTCTAGTTTTTGGGATTCCAACTTGGGTCTCCTGCGAGCGACAGCAAGGAGCCTAACAGCCACACACTTAGGACAGGATCTGTGTAGCTTCCGCTCTGCCATGTCGTAGTGGGCTCTATGTAAAGTGACGTCAGCTGTAGCAGCGAGGGTACAGAGAGGCTGGCCCAGTTTCTTCCTCCGCACCTTCTCTTTCCTATACTCCTACTCCTCTTCCTCCTCCTACTCCTCTTCCTCCTCCTACTCCTCTTCCTCCTGCATCTCTTCTTCTTCCTCCATCTCTTCTTCCTCCTCCATCTCTTCTTCCTCCTCCATCTCTTCTTCCTCCTCCTTCTCTTCTTCCTCCTCCATATCCTCTTCCTCCTCCATATCCTCTTCCTCCTCATTCTCCTCTTCCGTTGTTCCCTTCTCCATAATTTTGTAGAAGAGGCAGAGGAGGGAAAGAACGTCTCGGACATCATCATCATCATCATCATCATCATCATCATCATCATCATCATCATCATGCATCATCATCATCATCATCATCATCATCATCATCATCATCATCATCATCATGCATCATCATCATCATCATCATCATCATCATCATCATCATCATCATCGTTTTGTGTTAAAACAAAGCACTATAAGATAACAGCTGCCAAAGGTCACAGGGCAACACCAGTCCTTTCACGACCAAGTGATGAACAACATCAGAACAGACAAAAGATTATTGCTTGCCAATGTTGTATCAACCGTAGACGAGAGTGGGGGGGGGGGGGGGGGGGGGGGG